AAGGAGGGACAGAGCAAGAGAGGAAGACCCTGGATGAGATGGATTGATTCAGTGACTAGGGCAATTGGGGTGGGTGTGTCAGAGACAATGAGGTTGGCTCAGGACAGAGCAGGGTTCAGAACTGTACACGTAGGGTTGCCATACCTCGCAAGCAACTCAACAGCACAAAAAACAATAACACAAAGGTTGGCTGCTAAAGGTAGTGATGAAAATGAAGACAAGTAAGTAAGGAATGGTAATGCTGAAAATAGGGTGGTCCATAATGAAATGTAATTCTGTTTCCAAAACCTGCACCCAATATTGACAGTCGTTGGTCTTGTTAAGTGCCATTGAGTTGAGTATGACTTACAGCAACCCCATGAAAAACAGATCTAATCCCTATCCTCCCCTCTCCATCCTTATCAATCCTGATATGTTTGCTCATTGCCAGAGACAAGCTATCCACTTCATTGAGGACCTTCCTCTCTTCTGCTAACCCTCCACCTCTCCAAGCAGGGTGTCCTCTTCCAAGGAGTAGCCTCTCCTAGCAACACGCCCAAAGTATGAGATGGAAGCTTAGCCATCCTTGCCTCCAAGGAGCCCTCTAGGCAAACTTTCTCCAAGTCATACCTGTTCAGCCCCCCTCTCCCTCACTACATCTCAGAGGCATAGATTCTTCTTCCACCTTCCATGGTAGACATTGTAGAGCATGCACGAGTGCTTCAAACTAGCAGAAGAGAGAAGAAGGGCAACAGAAGCCAACTTCCTATGACCATTAAAAAAATATATAGATTGTTGCAAAAGAACCAAATCAGAGAGAATGGTGCCAAGGAACTTGAGAACTTCGTAAGGGCCCAACATTGGCATAGCTTCACAGTTGTTGCTTCCTGTTACTTCATTTTAGTTTCTTCCTAAAGCCTTATTCCAGTTGAAGATGTCCCCAGGGTTAATTGGATAAAAACACAAGGCTAATGCCACCTTTATGAATACAATCTCCTTCTATCTTGCCGGGGCTGTCTATCTCAACCACTGCCTTAAGTTATCTAAAAATGCTTTCACAAAAATACCAGAGCAGATGCCTTTAACAAAGGAAATATTATTTTCTCCTAGTTTAAGAAGCTAGAAGTCTGAAATCAGACTATGTGCTCTAAGGAATGAACTTCTCTTTCTTGACCCTGGAGAAATGTCTTCCTCTCTCAGACTTTTGCTTTTCCACCTCCTTGGCAGCTTCCAAGAGTATTGCCATCCATCTCCTCCCCCCCATCTCTGATCTGCTCTGCCCACTTATTTAATTTCTTTTCTATATCCAAGGGATGGATCCAAGATAACCCTGCACTGAACCTACCTCATTAACATAACAAAGATGAGTTTCAAACCACAAGCACACAGGGTAAGGATTTAAAGCACATGCTTCGCAGAGACACAACTAACTTAATCCAAAACATTCACCATTTGGTAAATTCCCAGGACACAAGCAAAAGTTCAATGTGACTCATAGCGAAACTGTTAGGTTTGTGAGGCTGTAAATCGAATGCGGGAGCTCTGGTGGTGCACTCTACAGAGAGTCGTGCTGTTAACCCAAAGTGGTGCCTCTCTGGAGATTCTAATACATCAGCTGCTCTGGGAATGAGAGGCCAGGCCTTTCCTCCCCTGTGAATTACTGCCTCTGGGACTCTGATGGTGGGTCAGCTGTGAGTCAGTCTGCTACCACCTGCAATGAATGAGTGAGCAAATGACATTTTAAGGGGAGGAGACTGGCCATTTTTCTCTCACAGAGTAACCAGTGGATTCAGAAACCAAAAATGCAGCATTTTGGGTTACAGTACCACACACTGCAAACTTATGCCACTAGAGTGTTTAATAAATGCTTCTCAAAATGAAGAGATGTGTCAGCTTTTTGCCCAAATCCACTTCTCAAGTTCATTTTTTTAAAAGTCAGGAATTTAGGAACTGGTTTCATGAGTTATCAAAAGGGTACAAAGATTTCACTTTCATCGGAAGTCAATCTAGGGAGCAAAACCAGAGATCTTAGAGAGTTGAGGATTTTTCCCCGGGAGCTTCCATACACTCTAATGACAGTTCTAAGAGTCCCTGTAAACCTAGGGACCCAACCTGGCACTGGCAACTGGCCTTTACCTTTTAAAGCTTCTAGTTGCCAAGCCAATTTTCTCCAATCGCAAGTCAATTTTCTCCAATTAAAGATCTGTAGCCCATTGGGTGGGATTTGGGGATTACCAAGTGGATTAGACTGCCACCGAGTCCATTCTAAGTCATACTAGCCCTCCATTGGGACCCCAGGCTGTCAACCTTTATAGGAAACCACTCATCTTTTTCCAGCAGAAGAGCTGGTGGACTTGAACCTCCTACTTTTGGGTTAGCACCGGGCCCCAATACACACCATGCCACCAGAGCTCTTTAGGGTTATCAAGGAACACCGGAAAGACCTCATCCCCTAATCCCTGACAAGCCCCTGGAGCCCATCACCTGGTATTCGATGAGCATAATATACCAGGGATTGGGGGAACCGGGAGTGTGAATCAAACTTGTCATTTTCACGTCTCCTTTTTTCTTTTTCTGTCCTCACTCATGCTTTCATTGTCTCCCTCATTTTCCTTGCCCCATCTAAGTCTCTTTCTCTTCCAGGTTCTATTTCCCCTTCTGGTTCTGATGTCCTTAACCGGACCCTTCGCTGTCTTGGGGGGGGGGGTCCTTCTTCCTGCCCTAACCCCTATACCTAGTCTCTGTCTTGGTGGCCCTCATCACCCTCTCCAGTGCCTGCCCCTCCTACAGAGTACCCAAGTCCTGCCCTGCCTTTTTCCTCAGCCCTCTTCCCCTTGCCCTGACACTAGGATGCTGTAAGTGGCTGAGGTGCCAACTCTGTCTTTTTTCTTGCTCTCATCTTGGTGGGGTCCATCACCCGTTCTCCTGTTGCTCAGAGATGTGGAGGCAGTTGCTAAGAGACAGTGAAACGTCAGTACCTGGCCCTCGAGGAAAAAGGGGAGCGAGAAAGGGAGAGAGGAGGGGGTGGAAGAGAGGAGGGATGGAGGGAGGAGGAGGAGAAGGAGAGGAGGGGGAGGAGGGGAAGACCTGGCGGAAGCCTTATACCCTAGCAGCCTGGGAGCCAGCTGAGTTTTCGGGGGAGACACCTTCGGATTCTGTGAACTTTCTTCAAAGCATCCCCTCTCTGGCTTCCCCTTTGGATAAAAGAAGGGGCCCTGGGGATACTGGGACAGGAAGCGCCCGAGGATGCTGGCCTGGGATCCAGGAGCGGTGGAGTAGGCGAGGCGGGGGGAGGGGACGAGCCGGGGAGGCAATCTGTTCTCGTTCAGGCGCGAGTGAGCGGGGATTCCAGGAGGAGCCCGGGGGACCCGCGCCTTCTTCGGCAGATTGATGGCTGTGTCCTTGGAACGAAGTGTGTAAGCCCGTGAGGGCCCGTGGGAGGGCGAGGGGGACCTCGTCAGTGCTCGGGGGGAGAGTGTGGATGGAGGGGAGCCGGGTAGTTTCCTGGGGGGCGGATGGAGCCTGGAAGGAGAGGCCGTGCAGGACGAGGCAGCCTCCAGGGGAGGACAAGTGAGGACAGCAGGTGGGCAGGGCAACGCTCGAAGGATGTCTGGAGAAGGGATGGACCGCAGGTTAGGGCACGCAGGGCGTGTCCTGGCTCTGGCCCCTCTGGCTACGAGGAGAGAATGTGAGTGTGGGCTTTGGCTGAGGGGCAGCGAGGAGGGGAGGGGAGTATTTGTGGACAAGGAGGTTGGGATGAGAGGTGTGTGCTGAGGGGTGAGAGATGGTGGGAGGCAGCCCCGGGAAGGGGGCTCTCTGCTCGAGTGTGTGTGCGAGGGGAGCTGGAGAGAAGACAGGGGAGGCAGGAGCGTGTGGGACGAGCAAAATATGGGGGCTTCCAGAAGAATGATGTGGATGTATGTGCCTGTGAGTGCAGGAGACAGAAGTGCCGGGAGGGTCTGAAAGGACGGGGAAGCTGGACAGAGTGTGTAATGCATGTTTTCATGGGCAGCGTGTTTTGCCCTAATGAGGGCGGGGCTGTGAGGAGGAATCATTATTCTAAGGAGACTGTGTGGTCCAGATGGAGACCTGAGGATGGTCAGCAGAGAACTTTGAGGGTGAGGAGCACAGGAGAAAGAAGCTGGGGACAAACAGAAAGAGTGAGTTGGAGAGGTGGGACCAGGTACCCAGCCAAGGACCTCAGAGAGGGATGCTGGATTTCTCTGCCTGAGTGTTTTCCTTGTTGACAGAGGGGATTCTGTCTCCGCCTGTGGAATACGGAGCCGGAGCCGGAGCCGGAGCCGGAGCTGAGCAGACAGAGGTGCTGCCTTGGAGAAGTGACCAGAATTCGGCTAGCTGATCCCCCACCCTGCCCTCTTGGATACATGGCTCTTCCCAGTCCCAGCGATCCAGAAAGTGGGTGTCACGGGGGGACCATCTCCTCACCCTGGCAAAGAGTGAGCCTCCCTGGGAGCTCTCGCAGCCACTGAGGCTGAGGACACAGGGGTTCAGGAGGCCCATGGGGACCCACTGCCTCCTGGGCCATCTTCCTAAAACACGCGCCCCAGGGCCCCCTTGGACTCCAGTCCCTCATGTTACTGTGAGAAGTGACCTCTGAGACCCCAGCTGCTGGAGACCCAGCTGCAAGCCTGGTCTCCTAATCAGTCCAAGTTGGGAAAGGAATTGGAGGGGGGGGGGAGTGACAGGACTCTTAAAAGGCATTTCTCATCTCCTTCACCCCAGCTCCACACCTCATGCAGAGCATCTGGAGGAAGCACCCAGCAGACATGGGCGAGAGGGACCCAGAAGGCCTGCAGGGAGCCTTTCAGGAAGCTGGTCCAGCCCCAGCCTCTCACCCTTCCTGTCTCAAGTCTTGATCATCTTCCCAGACCATAGGAGACCTCAGCAGGGCTCCAGACCTCCTGGGCTCCAGAAGGGGATTTTCAGTGCATCTCACCTGGAGAGCCCTTTTGTGCAGAGGCTCCCAGGAAAGACTGGAGCCATGATACCACGAGCTCCGAAGCCCCACCTTCCAGGGCTCCGGGCCCTGAGGTAGCTGCCTTCCTCCTCCTGAGTTCATGGTCACAGCCCCAGACTCAATGGGCTCCCTCCAGCACAGCTATTTCCAGCTGCCACAGATGGATGACTCGTGGGCCCAGCTGCCCTGGCCCGGGCCACCCCATCCAGCCATGCTGCTGGTCTCCCTCCTCCTGGCAGCTGGCGTAATGCACTCAGATGCTGGCAACAGCTGCCCGGTCCTTTGCACATGCCACAACCAGGTGGTGGATTGCAGCAGCCAGCGGCTTTTCTCTGTGCCCCCAGACCTGCCAAGGGATACCCGCAACCTCAGCCTGGCCCACAATCGCATCGCCACCGTGCCACCGGGCTACCTCACGTGCTACATGGAGCTCTGGGTGCTGGACTTGCGCAACAACTCTTTGGTGGAGCTGCCCCCGGGCCTCTTCTTGCATGCCAAGCGCTTGGCACACCTGGATCTGAGCTACAACAACCTCAGCCACGTGCCGGCTGACATGTTCCGAGAGGCCCATGGGCTGGTACACATTGACCTGAGCCACAACCCATGGCTGCGGAGGGTGCACCCTCAGGCCTTCCAGGGCCTGGTGCAGCTCCGAGACCTGGATCTGAGCTACGGGGGCCTGGCCTTTCTCAGCCTGGAGGCGCTGGAGGGCCTGCCAGGGCTGGTGACCCTGCAGATTGGTGGCAACCCTTGGGTGTGCGGCTGCACCATGGAGCCTCTGCTGAAGTGGCTGAGGAACCGGATCCAGCGCTGCACGGCAGGTAAGGCAGAGGGGCTGCGGTGGGCTGCAGAGGCGAGGGCTTACCTCCCTAAAAGCTGGCTCCCCACACAGAGGCAGGGACCGAGAGCTCCTGAGCACCTACTGTGTGCCCCAGTCGCTGCCTGCCCTCTGGGTCACCAGCTCTGTCATTCAACAAGTGTTTGCTGAGCACTTGCTAGGCAAGCTACATGCCTCGGGCACCCATCAGTGAATGATACAGACCCTTGCCTGGAAAAAAGGTCCTTGCCTCTGTGATCCCTGTGACCTAAAGGGACAGACAGCAAACAAATAACTAGCAATAGAGACTGCATAATGAACTTCAACTCTGGTGGCACAATGATTAAGCACTCAACTGCTAACCAAAAGGTTAGAGGTTCGAACCCACCCAGCAGCTCCAAAGACCTAACTAACCCCTATAAAGATTGTCACTGTGGTTATTGTTATTGGGTGCTGCTGAGTCCATTCTGACCCGCAGTGGCCCTGTGGGACAGAGTGGAACTTCCTCAAAGGGAATCTCAGTCATTAACCCCAGAATTCCTGATGACACAACCCAAGATTAAAGGTTCAAGACCACTCAGAAGCTCCTCAGAACAAAGACCTGGTTATTTTCTTTTAAAACTTAAAAAAGTAGTAGGCATTGAAAAGCATATGAAGATACTGAGCACAGCTCTATTGTTGATATTCATGGGGTCAGTAAAAACCAGAGTCAACTCGGTAGCTACTACACGAGACAGGACTTTGTTAGAAGCTGAGATTTAGAACCAAAGATTTTGTCCATTACTCATTTAGAAATAAGCAGAGTCAAGGGTAAAATCCAAGCTTCTTTGACTTTTGTTGGCAGAGAAGAGCCTAAGAAATGGTAATGATGTTAATAAGGCCATGAAGTCAAGCACGACTCATAATGACTCTGTGAACAACAGACCTGAGCCCTGTCCTGTCCTGTGCCAACCTCATCATCTCTGACACACTTGAGCCCATTGCTGCAGTCAGAGTGTCAATCCATCTCGTTGAAGACTCTTCCTGTCACATAGCTGCTAGATAGAGTCAGGATTTGAACCCTGGAAATCACGCTGCTTGTCTGTTGGATGTACCTGAAGAATCAGGTTCTGGGCTAACAGGCAGAGTCAGGGTCTGAGGTCTGGGCAGGTCAAAGGGCCTCAGCAGCTTTGTGCAAAGTCTGGACATCAGGTAAGGAGCTGAGAGGAGGAGTTCACCAGTCATTCCCACCTGGGAGCAAATCAGAGCCTAAAGGAGCCCAAACCCCACAAATGTGGTGTGCCCTGGCCTCACCTGGTAGTGCCAAGTTGCCCAGCGGTGAGCAATGTCCAGCTGGCTTCCCTCAGTGACCAGCCGCCCCTGCAGAGCGCTGGACCTGAGCGCAGCCCCTGCAATAGAATAGGAGGAGCTTGGAGGACCCCTTCCAGGGACTTCCCCGGTGCCTGGGCTCAGTATGTTCAGAAAAAAGCTATCCCGAATGAGGTGGGAGGAAGAGGAGAACTGAGTGGGGAGCCCAGGACCAAAATAGTTTGGGAGGGCTGTGGGTCACGATTCCAGTGTTTCTACAGAGCTGTAGGAGGAACTTCTCTGGGACCAAAATAACTGGGGGCTTAGATGGGCAAAGGTGGGGGGCTGCTGAGCAGTATCTCATTTGCTCAATCTTGGGGCCTCCCCTCCCTCTCACTGCACCAAGGGCAGTCTGGGGTGCTGTGATCCCCTTAGGCCCATAAGCTCTTCAAAGTGATTGTTCTCTGGGACCTCTGAGGTCCCCTCTGCCTTTCTGAAGCAGCTCAGCCACCTATCAAGTGGACAAGGGTTCGGACCCCATCACTGCAGCCTCACATATCAGTACAGATGAGGGACCCATGGTGAGAAAGAAAGGAGGCCACAGCTAGGAACCCAGCATTCCTATTTCTGCCTAGAACACATGTGCCGTGTCACACCCTCCATAGTGTTTCCTCTTGGGGACCAAGAACTTGGCAGTGTAAGAGTGTGAGTAGAGCTAGGTGATCCTCTCCCCTAAATGTCTCTTTCTACCTCTTCTTACCCTCTCCTCCATGCATTTACCATGCTACTCCTGCTTTGGGAACAAATTCCGACAGAGAGGGACCCAATTTCAAGATTGGTGCCCTGGTAGACCAGAGAGCACTGCCAGACCCAGCTCCCACCCTGCTCTGTCGAAGAAACTTGGGCAGTGTTCTCAGTCTTGTGCAGATGTACATCTTATGCAGATGTCCATGTACGTCTCTACGCCCTCCAGCTGGCCACTCCTGACCTCCACCAACCAATATGCGCGCACACACACACACACACACACACACACACACACACACACACCCCGAGGAACTTGAATGTGGGTCTTGAGGTTCAAGGTCTTTTCATTTCTAGAGAAGAGCCCTGAGCCACTATGACATGGACAAGCTCCAGAGTGTGTACCCAGACTCCAGGGACCACTGAGCCCAGGGTTTGGGCAAGTCACGTTCAAATCTAACTCCCCGATTTTAAAACTAATGTTGCTCCAAAAGGTTGGTCCAAATCCATCATTTTATTCTCTACCTTCAAAGACTGCAGATTGGATAAAGCGCATTGGTGTGACACATAATTTAGAATAGTGTTCCACTTTGACTCTTAGATGATTTGAGTCAGATTATTGCCCTTTTCATAGATGAAGAGTATGAAACCCAGAAATACAAAATGAGCTTGCCTAAGGTAAGGGCCTGAATCGTGTTATCCAGTGAGTCAAGAAGTACCTGGCTTCCCGAATGCTTCCTCTTCACCAGCCTCATTCTAGGGATGGTGGCACTTAGCTCTGATACCTCAAGGGAAGTTGGTGGCCACAGAAGCAGCCTCTATGCTCCCAGGGTCTAATATTACACAGCAAAAGTGCCACCTGCTCACCACCTGTCTACTTCCAAGAAAGAATGAAATGAGACCACTGATGTCCCCCTTCACTCTCATCTGGTAGGATGAGATGCTCTCACCTCAAGAGAACAATAATCCTATCGATGCAGAAGCTTGCTTCCTGTAAACACTTTTGTATAGATCATGACTCCCACCAACACATCCAGAAAGGCCAAATGAAGATAATAAGGCCACATAATCACGCACAGAGCTTATGGGAACCTTTGGGTGGTGCAATGATTCACGCTCTTGGTTGCTCGCCAAAAAGTTGGAGATTTCAATCCAACCGGAGGCATATCAGAGACAAGGTCCAAAGATCTACCTCTGAAAACACAGCCCTCAGAAACCCTGTGGAGCACGGTTCCACTCTGCCATCCGCGGGGTCATCGTGAGTCAGAGACGACTCAGTGGAAACCAACTTGGTGTGTACACAGTGCTTATTGTAGAAAAACCAAAACCAAATCTATTGCTGCCAAGTCAATTCCTATTCTCGGCAACCTCCCATTGGGTTTCCAAAGATGTCTTTACAGACACTGTCTTTCTCTTATGAAGCAGCTGGTGGGTTTGAACTGCTGATCTTTTGACTAGCAGCACTACATGTCACACACTGTGCCATGTATACTTTGTAAATATTAACCATGTGAAGTGTTTTCTTTCACTAGTTCCATTTTACAGATAAGGAAACTAAGGCACAGTTGGGTTAAGTCACTTACCCACCATCATGCCACTTATAAGGGGTGGAGAGGAGCTTTTCATCCAGACCCACAGCTCTGGAGTGTATGCACTTTGTGTTCAGGAAAGCCCATCTAGGGGGATAAATAGAGAGAACCAATAGTTTGAAGCACTAGAGTCATTTATTCCTATATTGATTGAACAAAGCTTCACTGAGCAGTTAGGACTGACAGGACATTGTTCAGAAGCTTAGGATACTCGAGGAGAAGCTTCTATTCAAGAGGGACAAGATGGACAATAAACATATAAATAGACTGTCAGACAGTGATGAGCAATGTGGGGAAAAATAAGGCCGAGTAGGTGAAATGGAACTAGTTTGGGAAAAGTAAAGTGGAGATTGCTATTTTGTGTAGTATGGTGAGGATAAAACTCAGTAATAAGGTGATGTTTGAACAAAGACTCATACGGAATAAGAAGCTGAGTCTTGCGGAGATCTTAAGGGGAGAAGTGTCCAGGAAGGAGGAAAATGCAAAGCCCTTCACCTACAAGAGTCAAGTTTGAAGTCAAAGAAGAATGGCCAGGAGGTGAGAGTAGCTGAAGTAAAATCAATAAGGAATAAAGAGGAAGAGATGAGGCTACTATGATGGCTTTGACCTTGACTTTGACTGTGGAGAGGTAGAAAGCCAGGTGAGGGTTTCAAGCAGAGTAGCATGAAGAGACATGAGATCTGAAGGGCTCATTCAGCTGAATGTATGGAGATGGGTTAAGAGCACAGGCAGAAGGCCATTGTAAGAGATGATAGCAGTTTCCGTTGAGTTGACTCCAATTCATGGTGACCCCATGCATGTAAGAGAAGAGCTGTGCTCCACGGGAATTCAGTGGTGTGGGGGTTTTGAAGTAGACCAGTATGTCTTTTGTCAAGGACATCTCTAAGGAAACTCCTTTTACCCAGTCCAGGGATTCCGTAAGAATAGTGGTGGCCCATAAGTGGTGTCAAACCTACTACTTGTGGTCAAAATTAAACTTAAAAAAGAAAAGTATGTCTTCTGTCCCTCTGGGAATGTTTAGGGCCTGCAGCCCCCTCCCTGGAGCTCACCAACCCCCCCCCCCCGGGTCTATGTTGCAGATTCTCAGCTGGCTGAGTGTCGAGGGCCCCCTGAAGTGGAGGGCGCCCCACTCTTCTCCCTCACTGAGGAGAGCTTCAAGGCCTGCCACCTGACGCTCACCCTGGACGATTACCTCTTCATCGCCTTTGTGGGGTTTGTGGTCTCCATCGCCTCCGTGGCCACCAACTTCCTCCTGGGCATCACAGCCAACTGCTGCCACCGCTGGAGCAAAGCCAGCGAAGAGGAAGAGATTTGACACTGGGGAGCCTCGCGTTTCTTCATGCTGCCAACCGCCGCTGCCCTGACCACCAGACCTCCTCACTCATTGCCCGCTCTGGTTCCGTGCATGGCCACCACTGTCATGAACGCAAGGTTAGGAAATACACTTTGTCTGGGCGTTGACTTCAGGCCGACGCTGTGCTGAGAAGTGAGAGTGAGGGATTAGTGGAACCTAGTCCCTGTGATGAAGGCATTTGCATCTAGTAGGGTAGCAAGATTAGAACACTGCTCCCTTTAAGATGACATGTTGGTACTTTAAGCTTGTGGTTATAGAGGTCCAAAGGAGAGGGCCATGGGTGTGCCTGACAGAGTCGAAGAGAATTACAAGAGCGGAGGTGATTCGGGATCTGGGTGATGGAAAATGAGTAGGAAATTGTCAAGTAGACCAAGAAGGGTAGGAGTGAGCAAATGCCAGGGCCTAGAAGGTGTATGGTGTGTTGAGAACCGTGAACCACCCCTTATCACTTAAGTGCAGAGAGGAAGTGGCATCGAATCAAAACTTTCTCTTCCCCTAATGCTCAATCTGTCAGCTCTCAGCACTGCCAATGCTGCCTCCAGAGAGTGGCAAAGCCTTCCCACCAGCCCCCGTGGTCTCTTCCTGTCAGGAGCGACCAGGTGAGCCTGGCTCCCAGTGACTGCTCCCCACACCCTGCGATGCCACCTGCAGCCTGCTGCTGAGGTCTAAGGCGGCATGCTGAAAATAGACACCTCTTCCTGCCCTTTCTTCTGCCTCGGACTCAACATCATGCATTTCAGAAGAGGGAGGCAGGGAGCATGGGCAGTGAGAGTAGCCTGGTCACTAATCACGTGACGTGTCCTTCCCACGGTGCTCACGCTGAGATCTTGCCTGGAAAGTGCACTGGGGGACATAGATGTGGCCTGACAGGAGCCAGAAACAATGGAGGAGGAACCACCATGACTGTGACCGGAAGAAGATCTGCTCACCCTTCTAAACCCTTCACCCTTTTACAGCATAAGCAGAGTTGGTGCTGGTGGTTACATTGAGTTGGTTCTAACTCACGGTGACACCATGCATTACACACAACTGCTCCATAGGATTTTCTTAGCCCTGATTTTAATGAAAGGCCCTTTTCTTTCACGGTATCACTGAGTAGATTCAAATTACCAACCTTTAGGTTAGCAATTTAGTATGCCCCAGTTGCACCACCTGGGTAAGAGAGTGATTCATTACCAAGAACTAGCCAGTACCAGGCACTGTGATAAACTCTCTCCAGAGACGATTCCCTCTAACGCATGCCAACAATCTTGTGAGATGAACGTTATGGTTCCCGTTGTACAGATGAAGACAAAAAAAGTTCAGAGAGGTTGAAGTCACTTGCTTCTGGACCAGTAAAATCAATGCTGTGCTGTTTCTTCTCTCCCATTCACCTTTGTGAATATCACAATTCTCTCTTGAGAGATAGTTATATGTTTGGATTCCTGGGGTGTTTATGAAGCTTCTATAAGGGAAGGCACTGCCTCTGTACTTTTGCATAAGTTCCAGCAGTGCTGGTGAGTGGTCTGATTTTTCTCACTCTACAAGTGAACTCACTGTGTCTCAGGAGGCGAAGTCACTGACCCAAAGATCCAGGGACATACTGCCTAAATTGATCAGGCAAAAAATTAAGTAACTTTGAGTGCAAAGCACACATATCAATGTTATGGTCCTCCTTGTCATTCATGCTATTTGTTCAGCCCAGAACATTCCGTGGAATGATTTGGCAATGCCCTCCTTGACTTTTCCCAGCCTGTGTGGGAGGCAACGCTTGTTGCATCTGTAATTGCGCCTATTTACAGATGGGAAAACAAAGGCTCAAGACAGGGTGTGATAAGCCTACACGTCAGTGTTGGGACTTCGGAATCTCAACTCCCTTCTTTTTCCAGTGCTTTCTCCAGTGACTGGGGAGGAGATTGAATCAGAGGTCTGGGAGGCAGGGAACCTATGCCTGACAGTCAAGAGCATGTTATTCGATGAGAGACACAATGGACAGTGAGCCTGAGCTGTGGTGCTGATTTAGATCTGCTCGCTGTAGGAGAAATCGTAGCCCTGCCCAGCAAAGAGGCAGCCTTTGAACTGGTGGTTCTAAGTTATGTAAAAAGATAGATTTCTGGGGAAACAGGAGCTGAAGCTATAATAACCTTCCTGCATAATCTCTGCTGTGTTGTGTCGGAAGAGAGTGATGAGGTGACGAGTCACGTAGGTTAAGTGACAAAAGCATACGCTTTGTGCAACATCCAGATGAGAGGAAGAGACAAGACACAGCACAAACATATACTTGACTAGACTTCAAAGCACAATTACAATTTAATTGTTGACAGGGCTGACCTCATAGGTTCCCATCACCTACTCCTCCCAGCAAGGCCTGAAAAATATGTTGGTAGCAGTGGAGGTAACAAACTACCTCCCAGAAAAGCTTTCTCCTTCATTCTGTCCAGGGAGTCTCTGGGTATACAAATGGCTAACACGTTCTGTTCCTAACCAGAAGGTTGGAGGTTCAAGCCTACTTAGAGGCTCCTCAGAAGACAGAACTAGAGATCTACATCCAAAAGAAAAATCAACCATTGAAAACCTGTGGAGCAAAGTTCTATTCCCATATACACGGTGGGGTTGCCATTAGAATGGGATCAGCCATAACCTGTGGGTGCGTCCTTGAGCTAGTCAACCAAAAGAGTCCCCAAAGACTTTGCTAGACATGGGGACAGTGAACCCTGTGTTCTTCAATGTCTTTGTCCAACATCTGGGCCAGAGCTCTGTTCCCGGGACTTCTGAAGCAGAACTACACCCTGTCTCTTCCTCTGTGACGGCCATGGGGGCACGGACTGAGCTTGCTCTCTCCAGTCCAGTTGACCACCTCAAGTCATTAGAGAAAAGCTCTTAGAAACAATAGCCTTGACTAAAATAGGTAAGCTTCCCATCAAAAACACCTTATGCGTATATGAGAATCTCCTAGAGACTCTTTGTTTGCCAACAGATAGCTATTATATTTCGAGATACATAATTTTTGCGTAGAACTAGGCCCAGATAAGGTGCAAAATACCCCTTCAAGGTGGAAGTTCTTTCTAGTGGGTTGATTTGGTGTCTACTAACTTTTCTGAGAAGGATAAGTGAACTTAAAAGAACAGAGTTGCTCCAGTTGCTAGAAGGTCCCCAGTTAACAAATAAGGGAAGCAATGTGGTTGGTTCAACTTTCCTCCTGTAAATCTTCTTAGAGGCCATCAGATTGGCTCCAGCTCATAGCAACGCTCTGCACAAACACAACAGAAACCCTGCCTGATCCTGCATCAACCACGCAATCTCCGCTGTGCTTAAGCTCACTGTTACGGTCAGTGTACCAACTCGTCTCACTGAGGGGCCTTTTTCAGCACTGACCTTCTATGTTTCCAAGCATGCTGTCCCCTCTCAGGGAGCAGCCCCTCCTGTTAACATAAGAACACAGCACTTTGCCAGTTTTTAACCTGAGGTCCTCATCTCCCAGCATTTTTATCAGACAACATCCCACTACTGTTCTGAGAGCTTTCAGTACTTCAGAAGTGGATAGTCAATCCTATTGCCTAGTCTACCTTAGCCTGGAAGCTCCAGTGAAACCTGTCCCCATGGGTGACTCTGCTGGTCCTTGAAACACCAGTGACTGGCTCCCAGCATCATAGGAACATTGCCTCCACCACAGTAGAGCAAAGGGGCCAATGGGGACTGCCAAGGAGTCCCGTGCTCCTCACCACTCCACCACTGCCTTGTTCTGACTTTCAGATGCAACAAATAAGCCTATTTCTAGAGGCAGCCTATGAAGACTGAGGTTCCCTGGCGGCCAAGAAACCATGGTGGTGTTCCCTCAAGGCTTCATTTGTTTTATTTGCAAACTGGTTAAAATGCATATGTTGGAATGTCTCTGAGTCATGATGTCTATCTATAAGATTCTTCGTGGCTCCGGGATCTGTAGACATGGGGCAGAAGTCTCTGGAATTTGTATTGCGTTCTCTGACAGGATCTACTCAGCTTTCTATCCATTGCATCTTTTGTTACACCGAGATGTAAACCAGTAACCTTGAAGTTGACTAGCTGCTCAGAAAATATAAAAAGAGAAAATTCCAACCACAGCAGCTAAAGAGAAACTGATGTTCCTAATTCACTCTATTTTTATATCCCACAGAGAACTGTCCTAGTCATAGCCGCTTCCTTCTTGCTGGATCCAAGAATATCATAGGTTAGCTATCCAACTAGGGTTACAATGATCAAGGTCTTGTATAGTGTTCTTTGAAAAGACCTGACATTCACACCAATTTAGACCCATTGTCTGGCTACCCTCAGATAAACTCTCACCTCTGTTTCTTCCCTTCCCAGGCATCTCAGCAGAAATAGGTCCCTATGTTAAAATTTGCTTTAGAATTGCCCTACTCCATCCAAGGGGCTTGATGTATAAAATTTGAAAGATCAAGGCAAGTATTCTGCTTCAACCATAAAGCAAGACCTACAACCCCTTCTCCCCCTTCAATGTCTTTGTTGACATAGCTTTAACATCCTTCCCAGCTCTAGAAAAATATCAGGAGACCCCCTTTGTCCAGTCTTCAGAAGGTCATCTTCTCAAAGCTAGAGAATTTGTTCTGCTTTTGCCATCTTAGGAAAGAGGAAAATGAAAACATGAAAGAGGCCCGTGACCAGGTCCCTTCAGGAATCGCCCTGGTGTTCACCATGGCACTGGGTGGAGTGTTCTGGACCTACCAAGATTTCTAATTGCCGCCCTGTGGAGTGCTGATGTCTGGGGTGGGAGGGCTGGGGAGGGGCGGGAAACGGGAAGATGCCAACCTTTGTATGGAGATGATTTTATAACCATGCACTTTTGTAACTGTGAAGAATTTTTCATAAATATACATTAATAATAAAGAGTGTCTAGTTTAACAAATTTTCTGAAGAGTGGTGAAGAGGAGGGAGGCAGCGGGGAAAAGGGAGAGAGCAAAGAACTGAGCAGAATCAAGATAATG